GTACACAGCTGGCAAAGGAATGCCATGGAATAGGTATAGCATATTATGTGATAAAGAAATAGTATAGCTATTTGACTGTGGTGCATACACTTATGCCCCCGACACCTGTAAGGTGTGATGTCCTCTGCCTGCGCATTTTGACTAGCAATATGCTTACCATGTGTCATAATTTTTTTGGAGATGGTGTAAATAATGAAATCTTATATTAAGATATAATAGAAAGAGTTATTAATATTTAAAGTCTGTAAAATTACAAAAAAAAGGATTAGTTTTAGGACATTGCGCTATTCTGCAAATTGATTTTCTACTAGATGAATTTTTATATTTTTTAGAAAAAATCTGGAAGATAAGGCGAGACTTGGGTTATTCCTTGTTTTGCGTACTCTCGCGTGTTTTCTTAATTAGCAAATAGTTTTGCCAAAATCATCCGGACGGAGGAGAAAATAAAAATAAAATAAGATGGTTAAATGCTTCAAATTTATATAATTAAGAAGAAATACATATCTTATCCTTGGAGATTTCAAGGCTGCAGAGGGCGTAATAAAAATAAAGAAATATCTTTTATTTTTCTCTGAAATTGCACTTTTTGGTGGCGGCGGGTATGCTAATTGGCCAAAAATAAAATTTTGTTTTTATTTGAAATAATCAGTATTTGCAGTCGGCGGGTTCGCTAAACAAGGTATAAAAAAGTGCCGCCTAAGTGTTAATATTCGGTGAATACACTTTAATAAAAGATTCAAATGAATTGAGCAGTGTTATGTCAAAGCTGTTTTCCAGAACATTGTATATGTCAGATTATTATAAAGTTGCTAATTGCTTTAATGTCAAATGGTTAGTTAGTTTTATTGCCTTTAGATGAGGTGTTTGTCATATGGTCGCTATCGTTCCTCCAGTCTGTCGCCCCTCATCCAACCGGCCAGCAGCTGCTTGGCTAGCTAGTTTAATCAATTTCAGTTGCCTAAAGCTGTGTATCGATATACAAGGTTTCTTTGCTGGAATAGACTGCTACAGCTATCTACTTAAAACTTAAATATGAGTAAGTGATCAGGCCTCGCTAACTTTGTTATGCTGTTATTCAAATATAATGGTTTTTTTGTATGTGAATTTTAATTTTAAAAATAACATTATTTATAAAAGTTTAAATTGCATTTTTTTTTGTGTAAAATTGGTTCAGGTCTTTGTGCACAATGCGGCCTGAAGGTTGTCGGAGAGGACTCGGGGTGCACAGCTATGGACCGTGTGTTCCATGTTGCATGCTTCACGTGTGAAACCTGTCACACCAAGTTACGTGGACAACCATTCTATGCTATGGTTTCTAAAGCTTTCTGTGAGAACTGTTATATAGTAAGTTCTGTGTACACTATCTGTTTGATTACTAACTGCAAGTGTAGACTTTACATTAGGGCAATTTCTCAATATGGTATAAGCTACTGAAGCCCTTTATAGTTAAGCCTAAGAAATAGCAACTAAGGCAGTCACCTAAACTGCTGGTAAGTGCTTGTGTGCACTGAATCTGCCAACATCAAACAGCAGATGGTGTCACCGAGGGAGCTGAGATGGATTTGTCGCCCAGTGGTCGTACTGGGTAATGTGTGCCATCCCTCGACAGAAATCTAGTAGTGTATGCCCAAATAATATATTTATTTAAAAAAATAAAAACATGGCTTAATAATTTACAAAGTTTCTCTGATAATGGTGTTGTTCATATAAATTTTTTTTTTTTTTTCATTTTAGTCGTCTCTTGAGAAGTGTTCCACTTGCTCCAAGCCAATCACTGAGCGGGTAGGTTCAATCATTTCCCTCATTTGTGTCAGACACTTAGGCTATGTTCTCTCACGACAGCTAACGGTTAGCAGGATCCGAATCCTGCTAACCGTTAGCTGCCGTGCATCCATAGGAGAAAATCCTGATCTGGACACTAAGAATATAATGATCAAATCACTGGCCAATAAGAAACTGAAAAATTGTAAATGTGTACTTGTGATTGGTTGATAATAGAAATGCGCTCAACTTGCTAACCGATAGCGCTTGCTAAGTGTTAGCAGGCGTTCTCACACAGGTGCTAATGGTTAGCGCTAACGGTTAGCTCCCGATCCGGATACTCAGGCTCTCTTGAGACCAGGCATTACTACATGATGACATTACTTTAAACCATGGATATTAAAATTGACTTAGCAGCATTACATCACCCTTAATGAGGAAATTTGTTAAAAAATAAAGCTATCATTCCTGATGATGACATAATTAATGTCGAAATATTGAATCCCAACACGATGGCGTGTATTTCAATACATTATGTATTATATGTATGTATGTAGTATGTATTATACTTTCTTAAAGCTATTAAGCCATGATAATATGAATGAAAATCACCAGCGAACATAATGAGAGTATATTGTACTACTTGTAGGACCAGACAAATAGTTGTTTACTCGATGGGTGAAATACAATCTAAAACATTTTAGAACAGCTTCACTCTGACCCTAAATAAGTGCCTAGTTCCTCAGGGAGCCGGAGGAATTCATCCCTAAACCACAGTAGAGGTTCATCCCCTGACCAGGGGTCATGCTGGCCTCCACTGTAAGTTCCCATCCCATGTCTGAGAGGTTTCCCCTCCTGAAAGTGTATCATGGTGCTATTGCAGTTCATAGTCTAATCTGATTTTAATATAAGATGGATACCATTTTTTAATAGATCTTGCGTGCAACAGGAAAACCTTACCACCCTGCTTGTTTCACCTGTGTTGTGTGTGGCGAGAGCCTTGATGGTGTTCCATTTACTGTCGATGCAACCAATCAAATCCACTGTATCAAAGATTTCCATAAGTAAGTGTCATGAATTTTCATTGGCTTACAAACTAGTAGGCTATATTACATATCATGTTTCTCATTGTGACTTACTCTAATTAATGTAAATAATTACTGAACATAGCTCAGTGAGTGTTGTAAGAATATTAGTGATTGTTGTTGTCAGAATGTGGTTCTTACACAGAGCATGTGTTTGGTAACCTGCTTAGTAGCATTGATGAAAGGTACAGATAATGAAATCTGTTAAAAACTTAAAAAATAAAGAATTGTTTTTTTAAAAGGATCAGTTTTCAGTATATTATCAGTCATTTTAATGGTCAGAACAAGAATATACTGTAAGAACTGCATTATGTTTGCATCTGTTTCCTTTTATCTTGTAATTTTCATTTGAAAGGTAATATTTTGTGAAAGATATTAAGTAAACAATACAATTATTAAAATATTATTTTTAATATTTAGCTCAATATAAAGACAGTAATACAAATTTACATACACAACATCCTTCAAAGGATGAAAAACTGAGTTTATATTGCAACAGTATATCTTTATAGTGGATTTATTTTGATTTTATGGAATATCAGTTATTTATAGTTTGATAAGTAATAGTCACCTTTTTAATTTATGGTTGATGAAGAATTATACCTCAATGACTACATTTTACAATTATTACTATAAAACAATAAACAGGGTCACTGTAACATCAGCCTGTATCATAGAGTGTATTAACTGGCATTAAATCATCTAAACTGCTGTATAAACCAAGCTTATTTTTAATTTATTCATTTCCTTTGAAATTCATGTACAGTGTATGTTCTGTACTATCTTGAAAAGAAGCCTGTGAGATAGGCTTCTTTTCAAGGCTACTTTTGCAGACTAAAGGGACTAAACCCATTGTGCTTCTATATGAGGTTTTACTGTATTAACTGGGCCCTGTGAAAGAAGACTACCTTGATACTAGAAATAATGATTGTTGGTAATGGAGTAGAATATGCATGTGTATGGCCTAGAATGTTTTGGCTTTACAATAGTACATTAATCCCCCTAAGAGAATGGCAGTACGCTAGGCATGTAAAGTTGGCCTAGATTGCCAATGCCTTTAATAGGAGCTCGCTACTGATCAGCTTGCTGCTGATGATGATTTAGGACTTTGGTATGCTAGGCCTTGTCGCTATTCCTACTCTAACTCTATGGGTTTGCACTTCATAGACATGTATCATATTTAAAATTCTTGTATTGATAATCATATTTTTTATTACTGTCGATAAATGATTATTATAATCAGTGGGTCATCTTTCAATTCAGTTTTCAGATTGGTTTTGCATTGTTTTTCTTCTTTTTTACATATGTACACATTACTACTGTATGTATTTACTTTGACACCTAGTGTGTGTTAATTTGTATTTAATATAGCTCCAAATGTTAAATCATGAATTTGCCATTAAATCCTAAATTTGAGTTAATAGATTTTGTAATAGGAATATCTAAACCTTTTTTATTCCTATCAAAGCTACATATATTGTGTTCTTAAAACAGTGCATACTCAGTTTTTAGTTATTTAATCCTTTAATTTACAAAGTCTGTATTAGTCCTGTTAAATGCTAAAATATCAAATTGTTCTTGCAAAAATTGTGACGTTTATTTGCACCCTACTGGTAATCATTTTCTTAAATGAGATTTGGTCACCAACGCAACTCCATGGAGACCAAAACCTAATGAATTGTGCAATGACGTATTTTATTTTTGCTCAAAATGTCACTGACAATCAGCAAGTTGCATCATGTTGTAAAGCACACACATAGAGCAAAGCTTAATAATAATATAGATGGTACAGAAGATATAAAATATACATAAATTAAAAATACACATACTGTACTGTAATTACAACTGAGGAAACAAATATTTATGTTGAAATTAAAATATAGAAAGTTTTTGTTGTACTGACTTCAATCAAGGCGGGGGCCCAGGAGGGGGGGGGGGGGGGGCTGGGCCGGCCCCCACCCCCCCCCCCCATCTTTTGGGAGGTAAGAAAAAGAAAACAAAAAGAAGGAAAAAGAAAAAAATGATAGCCCACAACGCCTCAAATGTTATTTTCGGGCATCTAGAACACAAAAATTTCGCAGGGGCATGCCCCCGGACCCCCCAGGACATTGTTGTCTTGATCGGCCCCCCCTTTTGGACATCTCTGGATCCGCCCCTGGCCTGTACAGTATTCTGTATTTTTACAATTGCAAAAATATTACACTCTGCATGGATACTGTATATTGCATAGTGATTCAGCAGTGGATGTTTAAGATAGTTACTGTTATCAATGTCCTTAAATGTACTATCAAAAGTTACCATGTACATTAAAATGTGGAACTGCTAAGAATCACTATGTGTATGCTGTGTTTGTGAGGACTATAAGACTAGTAATGTTATGATCAAATTCATACAGCCGACAAATAAAAGACTATGCCCCTCTCCCACCTAGGTTGATTTCATCCAAGAGTCGCACGAGTTCTCCTAGTTTAAAACTTGTAAAATATGTGATGTAATTTGCTTGGGAAAAGACATTTATACGAGCTCTGAGCTTCCCGAATCGTCCTACGAATATATGCCGAGTTAGCAACTCGGCAAACTCTTATAACTCCTATGCTAAAAAAAACCCTAGTGGGAGAGGGGGCTATCGTTCATGCTTCATTCATTTGTAAATAATGTACGGTGCACAGAAACAAACAAAATAGACATTCCTTTTCAAGCTTATAAACTATACAATACCGTACACATATACTTTGTATATTTAAGTGATGCTATCCAGGTCCTTTGTGATGCTATCCAGGTCCTTTGTGATGCTATCCAGGTCCTTTGTGATGCTATCCAGGTCCTTTGTGATGCTATCCAGGTCCTTTGTGATGCTATCCAGGTCCTTTGTGATGCTATCCAGGTCCTTTGTGATGCTATCCAGGTCCTTTGTGATGCTATCCAGGTCCTTTGTGATGCTATCCAGGTCCTTTGTGATGCTATCCAGGTCCTTTGTGATGCTATCCAGGTCCTTTGTGATGCTATCCAGGTCCTTTGTGATGCTATCCAGGTCCTTTGTGATGCTATCCAGGTCCTTTGTGATGCTATCCAGGTCCTTTGTGATGCTATCCAGGTCCTTTGTGATGCTATCCAGGTCCTTTGTGATGCTATCCAGGTCCTTTGTGATGCTATCCAGGTCCTTTGTGATGCTATCCAGGTCCTTTGTGATGCTATCCAGGTCCTTTGTGATGCTATCCAGGTCCTTTGTGATGCTATCCAGGTCCTTTGTGATGCTATCCAGGTCCTTTGTGATGCTATCCAGGTCCTTTGTGATGCTATCCAGGTCCTTTGTGATGCTATCCAGGTCCTTTGTGATGCTATCCAGGTCCTTTGTGATGCTATCCAGGTCCTTTGTGATGCTATCCAGGTCCTTTGTGATGCTATCCAGGTCCTTTGTGATGCTATCCAGGTCCTTTGTGATGCTATCCAGGTCCTTTGTGATGCTATCCAGGTCCTTTGTGATGCTATCCAGGTCCTTTGTGATGCTATCCAGGTCCTTTGTGATGCTATCCAGGTCCTTTGTGATGCTATCCAGGTCCTTTGTGATGCTATCCAGGTCCTTTGTGATGCTATCCAGGTCCTTTGTGATGCTATCCAGGTCCTTTGTGATGCTATCCAGGTCCTTTGTGATGCTATCCAGGTCCTTTGTGATGCTATCCAGGTCCTTTGTGATGCTATCCAGGTCCTTTGTGATGCTATCCAGGTCCTTTGTGATGCTATCCAGGTCCTTTGTGATGCTATCCAGGTCCTTTGTGATGCTATCCAGGTCCTTTGTGATGCTATCCAGGTCCTTTGTGATGCTATCCAGGTCCTTTGTGATGCTATCCAGGTCCTTTGTGATGCTATCCAGGTCCTTTGTGATGCTATCCAGGTCCTTTGTGATGCTATCCAGGTCCTTTGTGATGCTATCCAGGTCCTTTGTGATGCTATCCAGGTCCTTTGTGATGCTATCCAGGTCCTTTGTGATGCTATCCAGGTCCTTTGTGATGCTATCCAGGTCCTTTGTGATGCTATCCAGGTCCTTTGTGATGCTATCCAGGTCCTTTGTGATGCTATCCAGGTCCTTTGTGATGCTATCCAGGTCCTTTGTGATGCTATCCAGGTCCTTTGTGATGCTATCCAGGTCCTTTGTGATGCTATCCAGGTCCTTTGTGATGCTATCCAGGTCCTTTGTGATGCTATCCAGGTCCTTTGTGATGCTATCCAGGTCCTTTGTGATGCTATCCAGGTCCTTTGTGATGCTATCCAGGTCCTTTGTGATGCTATCCAGGTCCTTTGTGATGCTATCCAGGTCCTTTGTGATGCTATCCAGGTCCTTTGTGATGCTATCCAGGTCCTTTGTGATGCTATCCAGGTCCTTTGTGATGCTATCCAGGTCCTTTGTGATGCTATCCAGGTCCTTTGTGATGCTATCCAGGTCCTTTGTGATGCTATCCAGGTCCTTTGTGATGCTATCCAGGTCCTTTGTGATGCTATCCAGGTCCTTTGTGATGCTATCCAGGTCCTTTGTGATGCTATCCAGGTCCTTTGTGATGCTATCCAGGTCCTTTGTGATGCTATCCAGGTCCTTTGTGATGCTATCCAGGTCCTTTGTGATGCTATCCAGGTCCTTTGTGATGCTATCCAGGTCCTTTGTGATGCTATCCAGGTCCTTTGTGATGCTATCCAGGTCCTTTGTGATGCTATCCAGGTCCTTTGTGATGCTATCCAGGTCCTTTGTGATGCTATCCAGGTCCTTTGTGATGCTATCCAGGTCCTTTGTGATGCTATCCAGGTCCTTTGTGATGCTATCCAGGTCCTTTGTGATGCTATCCAGGTCCTTTGTGATGCTATCCAGGTCCTTTGTGATGCTATCCAGGTCCTTTGTGATGCTATCCAGGTCCTTTGTGATGCTATCCAGGTCCTTTGTGATGCTATCCAGGTCCTTTGTGATGCTATCCAGGTCCTTTGTGATGCTATCCAGGTCCTTTGTGATGCTATCCA